AAAAAAAAAAAAATGTTTTTAACGTTTATTTATTTTTGAGACAGAGAGAGACAGAGCATGAACAGGGGAGGGGCAGAGAGAAAGGGAGACACAGAATCTGAACCAGGCCCCGGGCTCTGAGCTGTCAGCACAGAGCTCAACAGGGGAGGGGGGAGGCTCCAACTCATAGACTGTGAGATCATGACCCGAGCTGAAGTTGGATGCTTAACCGACTGAGCCACCCAGGCACCCCAAGTTTACTTATTTTTTTTAATGAGCCTTAAACTCACCACCCCTAGACCAAGAGTTGCATGCTCTTCTGATCGAGCCAGCCACGTGTCCCTAAAATTCAGTCATTTTTAGTAAATTTACCATGTGTGTAATCCTTAGCATCCTCCTGTTTTAAAACATTTCTATCATCCCCAATGAGATACCTCCACCCATTTGCTGTGATTCCCTATTCCCTGTCCCAGGCAACCACTAATCTAATGTCACCATAGATTAGCCTGTGCTGGACATTTCACATCAGTGAAATCACACAATACGAGGTCTGGGTCACTTTGCTTTAGGCTTCTGTGCCACCTAGATGTTGTTAAATTTGTTTAGTTGGATTTTTTTGTTGTGCCCTTGGCTTTGGTCTAAAAAGCATTTCCCTATCACGGTAGGCAACTGAGGCAGAAAAGTCTCTAGCCCTGTTTCTTTCAGCTGCCCTCCCGCTGGACCCATGCTCTCCTTCATGACTTGGTCTATTCTCCATGCTACCCTCTTTGTGCTTGAGTCACTGTATCTATCCTTCTCTTTTAACGTCAGGATGCATCTTTTAAAAACAAGGGTGGTTTCCTAGTTGCCTGTCTTTGGAAGCTTCCTCATTCCTTAGCATGCTTGGTTCCCATCCCCAAGTCACCAACTATTCACAAATGAGCTTTGACAGGTCATTTGTCTCTGCCAGGAACCCATTCAGAACTGCTCAGTTTCCTTGCTCCCTGTTGGTCTAGAAGCTCCCTCACCCTTTTAAAATTAAGGTGAAATTCACATAACACAAAATTAACCATTTTAAAGTGAACAATTCAATGGATTTTAGTATAGTTACATGTTATGTAACCAGTATCTCTATCAAATTCCAAAACATTTTGCTCAATCCAAAATAAAAACTTGTTTTGGAGCCTGGGTGGTTCAGTCAGTTAAGCATTTGGCTCTTGGTTTCAGCTCAGGTAATGATCTCATGGTTTGTGGGTTTGAGCCCCGCATCAGGCTGTGTGCTGACAGCATGGAGTCTGTTTGAGATTCTCTCTCCCCTCTCTCTCTGCCCCTGCCCTGCTCTCTCTCTCAAAATAAATAAATAAACTTAAAAAAATAAATAAAAACTTGTACCCATTGGCAGTAACTCCTCATTTTCCCCTTCCTCAGCCCTTGGCAATGACTAATCTACTTCCTGTCTCCATAAGTTTGCATATTCTGGATATTTCATATAAATGGAATCGTATAATATGTGATCTTTCATGTCTGATTTCTTTTATTTCTTTTCTTTTCTTTTCTTTTCTTTTCTTTTCTTTTCTTTTCTTT